ATCATAGCTTTCAGAAGGGCATCTGTTTTTTCATTCATCCTTCTCTTTTATTTTTCCTCTCTTAACTAGTATTTTTGATTCTTTTAAAGAGCAGTGTAATGTGTTCACCTCCTTGGAACACTAATGCTGACTAGATAGCCACCCCACATGGCAGAAACATTTGTCGACCGTCGGGTTTCCCTGTTTGCCGCTTGCTGACGACTGCGCTGCTGTCATTCAGGCTCGTAGGTTCATTCTTCTCTTTCTTATATCTCACTCCCCATCCATGTATGCTTATGCATGTTTGGGTTGTCATGTTTTGCTTGTGAAAATATTTTACAACACACCTAGAAGAATTGGATCAACTTCTGAAGGCAATTGCTCAAGTCAAAGAGTTGACTTTACTCACAAAAGACTACTTTAGTCTCATTTGGGGAGTGCGTGTCAACAAGAATTTTTTGCTACATATTTAAATAAATTGGTGTTAAAGCTCGCTAGGTATTTGTCTTCGGATCATTATCTAGGACTCTCTGGTTTTTGAAAATCTGTTTTCTTCAATGGCCAACTAAGAAGCATGGACACGGACACGATACGACACGGACACGCCGCACGTTTAATTTTAAAAAAATGCCAGGACACGACACGTGGAGGACACGCATGAAATATATAATTTTATATATTTATATATATGTTATATATATGAATATATAATTCAAAGATAATAAAAATTGCAATTAACACTAATTCCTATAAATTTATATGATTTTTGTTTTATTATTGTTTTTAAGTTGGTTTTGTTCAAACTTATAATTAGTCTTCACATATGTATAATCAATAGACACATGTGTTTAAACAATTGACACGTGTGTCCCTCCAAGTGTCCAAAGAGGTGTTCGGGTCTTTAAAAATATTTAAAAAAATAGGACACGTTTTGAAGAGTATAGGGCACGTGTCCTAAGAGTGTCCAAAGAGTGTTCGGTGTCCGACATGGACATGACACGGATAAGTCACCTTCTTAGAAGTGTCCCGTGCTTCTTAGATGGCCAATGAAATAATGAAGGCAATTCCATACTGAACAATGCGCTAGGTCTATGATTTTTCTATTATGTTAATTTGTGGTCAAACTCCATGATTTTCTAATTTAGGATGTGGAGTCCCTTCAATATCTCTTACTTTATTATTATTATTATTATTATTATTTTTTGAGCAAATGTTTTTAGTACTTGCTTAATCCCCTTATATTCAATTTGAGGTAGACTTATATATAAGCCTGGTGTTAATTGACAATTTTTGCTTGCCCTTATACGAGACAGGTTTAGTTAAACCAAAAGGGAAAAGATTATGTGTGATAAAAAAATGGAAAGGGCTATGTAGGTTTTTAATATTGTGATTGGTTTTTACAACTGTAAATTGTGTTGCATTTGAATATGTTTCTTCTCCTTGCATGTTTATTGATTTCTTGAGTTCCAATGAAGAATTATGTTGTAGATTTGTCTATTGGGATTTCGCTTGTGCATGTATGTCATTGTCTGAGCAGGCTCGATCTTCTTGATACCATAGTATCAATCTATTATGCATAACATGCTACATCTGAAGCTGCTGCATTCAATCTTTCAACGTGAAGAATACCTAAATCTTTTGTGATTAATTGTCTGTTTGCTATGCTTTTTGGTAAGCAACAGAGGCAAGATACTGATGATTACTTGTTTGTTTAATGAAAGTCATATTGGCAGCAAAGGCAATAGTCTTACCTCAATGAAGCGTCTATAATGAACCATCCTGGAAAGTTGTTCTTTTTGGTATAACAAACTCTATTGGAAGGCTGTCATTTCTAGTTACTTCCTTCTGCTAAACTTTCAGATAATTGGTTAAATAATTTCAGTATTATTTAACACATATAATATTGACATTTTTCTATTGCTTTTCCCGCCGGTTAAAATGCCTGTTGCACTTTTAAGTGCCTTGTTAATGATTTCTATGATCATGACTAATTATGACACTATCATTTTGCAGTATGATGCATTTGATATTGGTTTCATAACAACAGATGACTTCACAAATGCGAATATTCTGGAAGCAACTTATCCAGCTTTTGCAAAGAGGTTACACAGTGATTGGATTAGTGATCCTGCAATTCCTATTGTTACTGGCTTCCTTGGAAAGGTCTTCCTGCCTGTTGTTCCTTGATAGTTTTCCTCTTTAAAAGTCATTATCTGCTTGAATCTTGACCATTTGAGCGACTGTCTTAATGATATTTTAAATCCATTATGATTGCAGGGCTGGAGATCTTGTGCAGTGACTACATTGGGTAGGGCTGGCAGTGATTTGACAGCCACAACCATTGGTAAAGCACTTGGGTTGCAAGAAATTCAGGTCAGTGTTTACACTAAATATATGTCAAAAGTACATGAACATAATTAACTAGTATGTGAGCATATGAACATGTATGGAACAGTGTGTGAAAGTCTTTTCTTGTGAGCTTACAAGATTGATGATAAGACATGAAATTGATATAAGTATGATAGATTTGCTGTATCTTGACACATAATTGGAGGGTACATTATTTAATTACATGCATGATGCATTGCATGACCTGCGGTCATTATCTAACAACAAATTTAGATTTCATGCCAATGGCACATTTAAAGGGATTTGTAAGGACAAATTTAACTTCATATGCATGGATACATATATTTATGTGGAAAGATTTAAATATTTTGTTGTTATAATTTATTAATAAAATTATACATTATATATTAATCCCATGCTCTTTGTGATGAATTAGGAATTCCACATAATCTCCCTCCCTTAGCATTTAGTATAATAGTCATTTCAACTATACGATTCAATTGAATTCTCTCAACAGTGAACTAAACTCTTTTGAGAAGATTTGGGATTTGCATTGCTCTTATGTTATTTTTTTCCCCTATCTTCTTTAACTTTAATAAAGCCAATGATTATGACATGAAGGTAATGAAATGGGCCATTCCCAAAGAAAATGCCAAATCAGCATGCAAGCAATGAACACTTGTAGTGTCCCTTCAAATTAAAGGACCACTCACTAGACTCCCAATTTTTTTGGGGGTAAGTACTAGACTCCTTGTTAGTGGCATCATATTAGTATTATTGATAAATGCAATTTTTTTCTATAATTTTTTTAATTTAATTAACTGCATAATTGTTTAGGTAGTGAAATTATGAAAAAAGATACATATAGCCTGATCTAATTGTGACAAAGTTTAATTTTGTTTGATTTGCTTATAATTTTCATTTGGGTAATTCTTCCCTACCAATAACTAAAGTGGGATTTGATAGCAATTGATCGAAACAAATATATAGCAAGTTAATTTTTGATCTTTGATTTTTGGGGTAAAATTTGGCTTCGCTTTGGATTAATGTCAAGGGCTTTGAAATTTTCTACCTTGCATTTGTGCAACTGATATTCCTACATTATTTGAGGCATGCAAATTTACTTTGGTAAATGACAGGGCTGATTGATAAATATTACAAAACTTGAATTGAGTGTTTACTAATTAGAAATTTTCTACACCAACATAAGTTTTATAGAAATTAAATGGAAGAACTCTTCTCAAAAGAGAACAATTTTTATTTTTTTAATTTTTTATTTTACTTTGACGAAGGAAAGAACTGCCAAATAGTGAAATGTACAAATTTAAGCTATATGTGTATGAAATAAATGGCGCCAGCAGCTTACCACTCACTGACCATGAAAGCACAAGATACGTGGCCGTTTTTTTTGTTGAAATAAATATCAAATGTTTTATATTTTCTGTAAACTTACAATTAATTATATTGTAAATGATTTTTTTTTTTTTTTGGTTTCTTTTTGCAAATGCAACCATTTTGAGTATGTGATGATATCTTCGCATATCGATATTGGAGCTTACAATCTTATTTATTTATTGAAATAAATATTAAATGTTTCACATTTTTTGTAAGCTTGAAATTAATTATATTGTAAATGATTTTTTTATTTTTTGTTTCTTTTGTAGATGCAACTCTTTTGAGTACGTGATGATATCTTCGCATATCGATATTGGAGCTTACTATTGATATCAAAACAAGCTATAATATATATGTTTTTTTTATTTGTATTGTCGATGTTAAAAATTTGAGTTCTTGAATATTAAAAATTATTAGTATTGTTGGAGGTTGTTTTATATATTTTTGTAAAGAATATTTGGTTGGCAATTGTTACAAGGTACATATATATTATTCTTGATATATGATTTTGTGAATGTGAATTTAGATGTGGATGTGGATGTATTTTATTTTATAAAATATTAATAATTTTTACAGTGAATGAATTAATAAAATATATATTGATTTTATTAAAATAATTTTATTGCTTACATTTTATTAGTGACGGGTTAACCTGTTGCATATATATATTAGTTCAAATCTTTTGCGACGGTTCAAACTGTCACAAACAAATCTTTTGCAACGGTTTGAACTGCCCCAAATGCGGTATGAATTTAATTTTACTTTTTTGGCGACGTTGTAGACCATCGCTAATAATACTTTTCACGACGTCAAATACCATCACTAAAAAGGTTTTTGGCGACGACAATCAACATCGTCACAAAAAATGAAGTTTTTTTCTCTTTTGTGTCAGGTTAAACCGTCGCAAAAACTATTGATTAGTCGTCGCTACAAGAAAGCGATGGCTTATAACCGTCGCAAATACATTTTGTCACGCCTCCTTCGGCCACTCTCCATTTCCTGTCGCTACTTCGTCGCAAAAAGTCTTTTGTGACAGCTAGTGCACCTTTTGCGACGTTCACGGCCGTCGCAAAAGCTCCGATTTTTACTAGTGCCTTTTCATAATTTTAACGAAATTTCTCCATTTCCCTCTGCCTCTTCACTTCTCATTCCTACATTCCCTTCTCTTGTGCTCAAGTTTTCGCTCTCTAGATTTCGCCATTTTTTCACCTTCGAAGCTCTATACTTGCTCTGATTACCTCCTCTGGCGATCATCTGACTTTGATCTTTCAATGATTCAGGCGTCTCCTTTTTCAGCTTCAATCACTAAGTCCCTGACATTACTATTCGTACTTTTGAGTAATTTGTACTGTACTCCGTTTTTTTTTTTTTTTTTTTTTTTTTTTTTTTTTTTTTTTTTTTTAATGTTCTAGTCATCATAAGTCTTTTCTGGTTCCTTGAATTTCCACTGCACTTTGAATTTCATCATTCAAAATGTCAAATGTGCTTGTTTGCAATTTATGCTGCCCAATTTATCTCTATGTCTATACGCACTGTTCGTGGTTTTTGCACACACATACGCACTGTTCAAGTGTTTGATGTTTTGACAATCTGTCACCGCTCTTGACCCTGACACATTTGCACACACCTGGTTAGTGTTTTTGAATCTTTGTTTCTTTCTTGAGTCTGAATCATGTTCTTTTCTGTTTCTCTTAGACTTTTTGATTTCCAGATTCCTGCCTTTGCATCTTTGTTTTCGTGTTTTAGCTGTTAGGCTTAGGATTTGCCCAAAAACCAAACACCTAGGAGAAACTAAAACAAAATCCCTATAGATCTAAGAAAACCTTAGCCCCAGTGCTAGTCTAGGTTTAAGCCGAGGTATTCAGACTTTTATCCATCACCCTGTTGTCCAACCCCTTTACCTCGAAATAATAGATATGTTCAGGTGGAGGGTTGACACCCCAGAAAAGCTCGAATATTTTAAGAGAGAATTTTCCATTCCTGCCGATGTCCAAATTAGGTTAGCCGGGGAGGAGGACTCCATTATGCCAGATGGAGACTCCATGCCCTTTCCCCGTTGTAGCCTTCATAGAATGCGGACTTCGGCTTCCCTTAGATATTCTTTTCAGGGAAATCCTTCACTACTATAAACTCAACCCGATGCAACTAGCCATCAATTCCTACAGGGTTATTAATGGTATAATTGTCCTAGCTCGCTGAGAAAACGCTAGGATAACATTGGCCGATATTCAGTATTGCTATACCATATGTGGCCTAAAATTTGAAAAATGCTACATTTACTACCTGAAACCCAGATCCACTACATACAAAATCATAGTCGACCTCCCAGACTCCAACAAAGGTGCTAGAGATGATTACATCATCGTCTCGGCAACTGAGAGTTTGCTTTTGATGATGATCTTCATCTATTCCCTCTACGCCGATCGGTATTTAAAGAGGGTGATGGTAAGAATTGAGTTATCTTTTTAACTGTGTTTCTGTTAGGACTTCTCAACTCATATATCTTCGTCTAAACACTTTTTCCTTCTTGTTCTTTTTTGTAGCTCTTCCCCAGCCATCAAAGGACTTCCAACAAACTTTTTTCCCTAGCAATGACTTAAAAAAACTGATCGGCTTGCCTATTGATAAGCGCAAAGCCCCTTTTCTTCTTAATTACATTCCAACGTACAAGTCAGCTTTACCCGACGTCCCTCGTAGAAGTCTAACTCCACCATCTGCCTCGACCCCTCCAATCACTTCCTCACCAAGAACTGATCAGGCCTCCTTTTCCGACCCTATTGAGCTGCCATCAACCACTGTCCCCCAACTCATCCCGATATCACAACGACGATGCCAACGTCGAGCTCTACCAAACGTTCTTGCCGGCAGAACCCGAAGCCACAGATGATGAGATTTTGAACAATCAACACCTGACCCAACAAACCCACCAATCGCTTTGCCAGCAATTCATTTTGGTACAAAAATTACCATTGCTGCAACCGTCGAAGAAATGGTCTGCAGCAAAGCCATCTTTGAGGATCTATTGGCCGACCTTCCAGGAGTTATATCTGTTCAATCTTCTCTATCAGAATCCCAACCCAAGCAAAAACCCAAGAGGGTAAAAAGGGTTAAAACAAAAGCCCCAGTTACCCAAGTTGACACCAATGATACCTTGCCAATCTCAAAATTGGCCGAAGTTGAGAAGAGCTCCTCATACGGTATGAAAACTTTGTCTTAATGATACAGTACTCGGTTTTGGTAATTCTTCAACTCTTGGTACCTTTTTAGCATTTAAGTTTTTTATACTGCAAAAAGTTTACTAAATTCTTCACTTTTTTTTCTTCTAGGTGATCCAACACGCTCATTCTTTTGCAGTGAAAGCCGAGGACATGAAGAATGAATTGGTCAGCAAGACCAAAGAGGCTGCTGGCTTCCTCACATCCCTTAATAACGCCGAGGCAAAAATGAAGATGCTGCTGGATCAAGCCAAGGCTGCCAAAAAAGCTCAAGATCAAGCCAAGGAGAAGGCGGATGCTGCCGATGCCGTGGCCGAGGTTCTCAAAGCCGAGGCAAAGGAGGTCGAAGTAAAAACTGCCAAAACCCAAGCCGAGCTCCGAAATACCTTGGCCATTAAAGAGGCCGAAATCAAAGCAACTGATGAGAAAGCTTTCTCAGAGGGGCAGGCTGTCGTCCGTGACGCATACAAAGCCCAAGTTACCTAAGCCTGTAACGGAGGCTTTCTCCTTTGTTGGACTGCAGCTTTGGACAAACTGTCAGTTCCCACGGACTCCCCTCTCCGTGATACCAACCAACTCAAATTGTCATTCTCTCTTTGCTCCCAAGGATAATGAAGATGATACCGAGGATGAGGACTATGAGGCTGATAATGCCGACAATGAGGAAACTGCTACTGGGGTCAAGTCCCCAACTCTGAATGATCAAGTTATAGACTTGATCCATGACGAGGAGGAGGACTTGATTTCCAAAGTACCCTCTCCCAAACAAACAACTTCTGAGGCAGAGGTCCAGGCGGCCAAGAAGAGCTTGGACTAGACCTTGCTGGAAATTGATGCTGAGATAATGGCAAAGAAGGAAGATACTTTGCCAACCAAGGCCGAAACAATTCCAACAGCCGAGGTTGAGCAATCTGAAACCAGTGCCCATGTTTCCAACACTTAGTTTTTCTTTCCATCTGAACTTTTCTTTTTGTAGTTGTACTTTTTCTCTGAACAATGTTAAGTTTTAGTCTGGCCGATGTGCCCTTTCTGTCTTTGTGGATGAACAAGTAATCTCTTGTGCAAGGCTGAAGTGCCTTCTTGCATCTGAGCAAAAGTTTCTTGCAAGTCTTACTTTTTCTTCCAAGTGTTGAATGTATGCCTTCTTCTTTTTTCTTCTATGTATGTTTACCACTTCCATACTTAGAATAATTTTGCATTTCTTTAAAGTATACCTTAGCTGTATAATGACTCCGGGGTATAATACCTCGGATATTAATCTTGAATGTTTTCCTCGGCCATTATGTATCTCAGATACTTTTTTCAATATAACATCAGCTAACTTCAATTTGTAAATTGTTCTGAAATTTCAAAAAGTGTTAAGCCCATTCTGACTTGTAAATTTTGTCTATAAAATTCCAACAAGTCCCAAGCTCTTGCTTTCAAGTTTATCACTCTTACCTCCTGTCCCTTAATGTGAACCTAAGTTCCAATTAAGTTCATATTAAGCATGTATAGCCTTCTGCTGAAGTCAAATTCGAACAAAGAATAGCCGAGGTGTTCAACCTGGGTTTCTCTGTTAATCCAACTAAAATGCACTTAGTTCCATTATGAGTTTGGCTCTGCAGTCATGGCAAGTCTAGTTTCAATTCAACTTAGTTCAACTCCATTATATACAAGTGTAATTCAACTCTGTCATATAATGAGTCTAAGTTATTCGTCATGTTTCCATCAGAAACATCGCCAACTTAGTTCAACTCCATTATATGCAAGTATAATTCAACTCTGCCATATAATAAGTCAACTTTGCCATATAATTCAACTTCTTTGCGATCAACTGGCAGCTTCCCATCTCTAAGGAACATTTCTATTGCATCCATCCAACTTGGACCCATTTCAACACACATTGCTTCATACTCTGTGATTAGTTGTTCCACACTTGGGCCTGACAAATAATCAATCATTATTGTCCTTGCCTCCCCTGATTTCATTGCACTAGCAAGGTTAGCCAAGGCATCGGCATGGCTGTTGTCATCTTGGCTAACTTGCTGTAGTCGGTAATCCTGAAATAAGGCTAATAGTCTGACAACCTCTTTTACATAGGCCATTATTTTTTCATCTCGGGTTGCATAC